CACTCACCTATTCCCGGAGGAGCTTTGTAATCTCTTCAAGTATGAAAATTCTTTTTTGTTTTTTCCCGAAAAAAGAAGTCCCAAGTTCTGAGATAGTCGACCTATTGATTCTGTTGAACATTCTAAGTTGCTCAAAAGATATACAGGTTTAACTCAAACATGTCCATGTGAGTATAAGTTGATTTTGTTTTTTTGGTAAAGATAATAAGTCCATCGAAACGTGATTGGTGTATGTGTTCTTTGTATTATATGTTATATGTAGGGGTGATGCCAAGTCGATTCGAGCTTAATATTTGGCTTAATATGAGGTTCATCGAATATTCGAGTGCAATTCGAGCTTAATATTTGGTTCAACAGAAAAAAAATGAGGTTCATTGAGATTTGATTCGAGTTCGATTCGAGCTATAAATATGTAAAACATTATAATTTATACATATAAATAGCAAAAATATTATACATAATATGAGTTCAATTAAACTTGTAAATTTCACAAGTCGAGTTTCATTGGATTCAAGTTCAGCTCAAATAGCGGACAAGCCTATATATTGGGTTTGAGTTCAGTATGAAGCTTAGTTTAGACCAAATTGAATCAAGCTTTTCATGAACCAAACTTGAATATTTCATGAAAATCTTGATTGGTGTAAAATATTTTTATATTTTACCAAAAAAGGATAAATTGCAGATTAATACACTATACATTGAGGATAGTCTTACTTTAGTACCCAAATTTTAAAATGCACCAATATAGTATTTGAACTCCTGAAAATTACCACTTTAGGGTGTGTTGTTAGTACTCCGTCAATTGTCTAATGCATGCGATGTCACATGTGACTTGAAACTTTCAAAATCCCAAAATTACCTTTTAAAAGAAACACTTTTCATTGTCTTCTTTTGAGATTAAACCAAATTAGTGGTGGGCAGAACCCTAAGTGGTTGTTTGGCATTATTGCCGTTTCCTGGAACAACGGCACCACACCGGTGCCACATAGGAAAAAATGGTGCTTCAGGGAACAATCATCTATTTGGAACCGTTTTTTCATAGAAAACGGTGCTCCAAGCCACACCTTAGAAATCGGGAAGGCTTGGCTTGGAGCAACGTCAAATTTGGCATTTCCTAGAACTGCAGCTCGTTGCTGCCAATAAGGACAATGATGTGGCAGTGATGTAGCATTAGATAATGGGTAGAAGTGCAGAAAACGTTTCCTGGAGCATTGATACCAAACAGAAAAAGTTGTTGGTACTCCAAGAAACATCCTACCTGGCAGCAACAATTCCAAACAAATAAAAGACACCATTTTTTGAGAAAACGATGCTTCCAATCCACAGCTGCAACTGTAGCATCGATTCCAAACATATACTAAAAATCTCATCCTAGTCTACTTCCTCTCGAAGATGCTTTGATGCCATCTCGAAATCATAGTGAAGAATTCCTTGACCCGGGATGAAAGCAAATGAGTCCCCTTGATACAGGTAGCATGTGAAAGGGACTAAGTTTTCAATGACCTGCCAAATACGAGGGCACTCCATGCTCCTCATCTGCCAGCATATGAAATAGACTAATTTGTATATAGGTCTATAAATGTATTTGATTGTATATAACAGTAAAGGGCATTTTGATAATTTTACTACCCACTGGAATGGCCATTAACGATAATTGAGTAAAGTACCAATTTTCAGGATTTCAGGTACTATAATCTATAGTGGTGCATTTAAATGGGGTATTAAAGTGAAATCACCTCAAATTACATGATAGCATAGTAAATAAAAAAAAATAGAATACTCGGATAATATCGAGATTAAATCAGCCCCCACAAGATTGTCCCTTACAACATCCTATAGCACATTCTCTCCTTATATTAGGAATATCTCTCAATGATGATATTATCATTTCTGGTATTATCGTTAGAGGACTATGTTGTGGAGGGCTGATTTGAACTCCATAATAGCATATAAATAAAGAAAAAAAGAAAAATAGAATACTCGGCTGAACTATATTGGGAAAGGTCTTGGTTGATACAGTTGTTCCACATGGTGTGTTGGATGATGACGACCCACCCATTGGCCCATAGCCCACCCACGAACAACAACTAGGCGAGCTGTGGCGTGCACTCGTCCGTGTCCGAGTCCGTGAAGTATGGTTTTTTTGGGGCGGAGTTTCTACGTACTGTCTCTGGACTCTGGGGCCTGGGGATGCCGGTACCTGGTGGCGCTTGCGCAACGAATTTGCACTGAAACAATCTTATAGGAGGCTGATTTGATCTCTTGGCCTTGGGCCTTTGCCAATGCCAGCTTGCATTATTCATCACCAACCATAAATCAAATCAGGTTAATTACATTAATTCTATGTTGATTACATTATTAATCGCCAACGCCAATAAGTATGTTTGATTACAAATCAAATCGGATTGGCTACATTAATTCTATGTTGATTATATTTATTCATTGCCAACCTCAATAAGAATGATTGATTACAAATCAAATCAGGTTGATATATGGTCGCCTCATCGACCCTGGCGTTTTCTTAATTCTATGTGGACTCCACGGTCGTGTAAACCTCATTCATTAAATTTTGATTTTATTGGCTTAAGAAAATTGGAGGTCCCAAAAAATTGGTTGCCCGTTAGTCGGTTGATTCCTTTTCACAGAAAATAGAAAAAAACAAAGTATTATTATTAAATTAAAGAGAAATAGCAACCATACTTATATGTTATGTTGGCATTGATACAAACAAGAAAATGCTGATTTTCGAGTAATTGAGTTGTTATTATGTGGTTGACAAGCGCTTCGCTCGTTAAATTATGAGCTGTTGTATTTAATGAAAATGAAAAGAAAGGAGAAGGAAGAAGAAAGAAAATACCTTAGACGTATAAATTAGTTTGGAACGTTGCCGACAGCTTCGAAATGAATAGAAAATAAAGTTTAAATGAAAAAGAGATGATTGGAAAAACAACCAATTATAGTATCAACACATTTTTCTAATATTGTATGATGAGTAGAGGGACAATGGCAAATTACACACATTTGTGGGTTTTTCCTCTTTTAAAATTTCAGTTATAAACTTATAATTTGAATAAACCAAATGCTAATTGCTATATGTCGTGGTCTACGTAAAGGTAGCTTGGTCAGTCAGTTGCTCTCACTAGTCATGACTCATGAATGTACTGTCTTCACGGCTTTCCTTAAAGTTTTAACCTAGCTAATAGAAATAGTAATAGGCTACAGTTGGGTGACTTGTGTCGGTGGGGGACTGGAGAGGGATGCTAACTGACCGCCTATACTTAGTTAATTATCATTTGGCAGAAGGAAGGGAGTGCTCGCTCTCTATTATCTTATATTATTATTATCCTTCATCTTCATTTATGTAGAATAGAGAGCGAAAGATTGAGAAATTCATAAATTACGGAAACACCAGGAGCAAGTAACGACGACGCTAGGCAGCAATCATTCGGGAAAAACGACAAAAACACTTGACAAGTGAGAACACTATCATCTATCATTCACGATTTCACGTATTGTATTAAAAACTGGACTCCAATTTTATATTTCATTTTTCTTACCGCAATTTCCAACAAAATTTGCTGTCGGAGTGGCAAGTGTCAGACCATCAATAATTTCAGCTTCAGTGGCCCCAACCTCATGATAAAAAGATACCACACAAACACATATATAAAAAAACCCTTACTTGTTTCCCAATATTACATCTTCTACTCCCACCTCCTCTCAACTCTCAAGTCTTGAAAGCTGGAATTTTCTTTCGACTTTCCCCTCCCCCTCCCCCTCCCCCTACTCGCTACACAAACTCAAACCATCTCATGTTTAGTTATTTACGGCTCCGCCTTTAGGCAATTAGTTAGGCCTATCTACTAGTAGTGGTGTCGGATGATTATTTGAGATTCGATTTTATTTCGTCGAATTCGGATCTTCGGATAATAACATTTGATTAGAAATTATTATATTATTTTTAATCTGTATCTGATTTGATATAAATATAATATATATATTTTTATATTATTTATTTTTTATAAAAACACATATATGATGAAAATAATTAAAAAATATCTATATTTTTTTTTTGTTTTTATTTTATTCGAATTAGTGTATTTTATTTTTCTTTTAATAATTTATTAATTTTTAAAGAAAATAAGTCAATCAGATCAGATCCCAAGATCGAATTAATCAATATGATTCGAATTCAAATTGAATCCTATCAAATCTTTGGATCAATTTATATCCAAATCAGATTTGAATATATCTGATTCAAATCTCATTCAATCCATTTACATCCCTACTACCTAACCCTTGAAACTGTTTCCATGGTTAAAAAGCCCAAGAGAGCCTATTTACAGTATCGGCCACTAGTTATCGGATATTCATACCATACAACATTGGCCAATGCAGGCTGATTCTTGCTGTCTAACATCCGTATCCGTGGATGTGATGAATTTTTATTTATATATATATATATATATATATATATATAATTATTTGGTAAAATCAATAATTAGCAAGAACGAATATATAATTTAATTGATAGAAATTTATGTAATAAATCTATTAAACTATAAAAGCCAGCAAACAAAAAAAAAACACCATGTAAAAGGCCTCAATTTCCATCCTGATTTTACAAATTAATGTTTTTATACATGAATTGCAACAAAACCTCTTTTGTTTCTTACTTCATTCGAGGCTTCGAGCGATGATTCATACTTCATAGTGCTGTACTGCTGCTTCAATGACTTGACTGGCACAATAGGTTTTAATAAACCCACGAGAAAATTTTAATGACTTGTTCTATGAAAAAATTTTGCACAAAGTGCAAGTGTCCGCGGGAGTGAGAACTGAGAGTCTGAGACCCATCGCCCAACAACATTCTCACAAAATTATTATCTATGTAGTAGGCCGTTACCACTTACTGAGATTCCAAATCTACAGTGGCACTTTCGTGATTTTAACTAGACCCAAGTCCATTTATATATAAAAGCAGATTATCACAAAATAACCCGCCCAAGGCCCTAGGCCAGATATTAAAAGCAAACGCCACTCAAACGCGCTGTCTGTCTCTTCTGTCCGCCTGACAGTCACCCCCAGCGCTGCGCTGCAGTACTTGGAGTTTGAGACCTCCGATAGGACCAAATACCGTCGGAACTCCATGAGGAAGGAGGGAGCACCGGCGTCCGTCTCCGGCATTTCAGCCGGAAAATTTTCCTTCTGTTTTGAAACTAAGCCCTTGGTCGCTACATTGCTTGCCGTAACCTTGGTCATGGCCATCTGGAATCTCCAACCCTACTACGACAACCTTCTCTCCGCCACTACAACTCCACCGGATGCTTCCACCCGCTTTCCTGAGAAAAAACTCTCTGCAGCAGGGCCCGTACCCAACACCGACCCAAACAAGCGTCTCTTCTACGCCTACGGCAACGCGGCCTCTCTATTTGTCCAGATGGGAGCCTACCGCGGCGGCCCTCGGACCTTCGCCATCGTCGGCCTCGCCTCCAAGCCCCTCCACGTATACGGTCGTCCTTGGTACAAATGCGAGTGGATCTCCAACAACCGTTCCTCACCGTCTCTCAAAGCCAAGGCGTATAAAATGCTACCCGATTGGGGCTACGGTCGCGTATATACGGTCGTCGTCGTGAACTGTACATTCTCTGTCAACCCTAACGAGGACAACACCGGTGGAAAGCTCGTGGTGTACGCCTATTACGGGGAATCGCCAAAGAGGTATGAGAAGATCATAGCTTTGGAGGAAGAGCCCGGGGCGTATGACGAAACCAGGTATCGTCCTCCCTATAAGTACGAGTATTTGTATTGTGGATCTTCGTTATACGGGAACTTGAGTGCCACGAGGATACGGGAGTGGATGGCATACCATGCGTGGTTCTTCGGACCGAGCTCGCATTTCGTGTTTCATGATGCGGGAGGAGTCGGACCAGAGGTGAGGGCGGCGCTAGAACCATGGGTGCGAGCCGGGCGGGCGACGGTGCAAGACATTAGGGCTCAGGCGGAGTTTGACGGGTATTACTATAACCAGTTCTTGGTGGTGAATGACTGTTTGCACCGTTACCGCTACGCTGCGAATTGGACATTTTACTTCGATGTGGACGAATATATATATTTACCGGACGGGAACACGTTAGAATCAGTATTGGAGGAATTTTCCAATTATACCCAGTTCACGATTGAGCAGAATCCCATGTCGAGTTCGCTCTGCTTAAATGATTCGACACAGGATTATTCAAGGTAAGCACCTCCCACTCCTCAAAACAAGTGTTTTTTTTTTAATTTGGTAAAGCTCTTCAAAACAAACTTGCCGACGCAGAAATATTTCTTTTTCTTTTTCGACACAGGATTATTGTTATTTGTGTGTCGGCACTGCATTCATTAACAGGCCAGAATTTTTGTGGGCATTTTGAAGAATTAATTCAGGGATTCTAGACGGATTTTTGTTTTTCTTTCTTTGCGTTGCCTAAAATGGAATATTGGTTAGATGCAAAGACGAAATTTGCAGGATATTTTAATTTTTGCACGGGAAGGAGGGGAGGGAAATTATGGGGGGGAATTGGTGGCTGGATGAGAGTTTGGATTAACAGTTAAAATTGGGTTTATTTTAATAAAAATTTTGCTGTGAATTTTCAGACAATGGGGATTCGAGAAGCTGATTTTCCGAGAATCGCGTACCGGAATCCGGAGAGATCGGAAATACGCGATTCAGGCAAAGAACGCATACTCTACAGGCGTCCACATGTCAGAGAACGTCATCGGAAAAACACTACACAAGACGGAAACAAAAATCCGATACTACCACTACCACAACTCGATATCACTAGAAGGGGAGCCGTGCCGGGAGTTTCTCCCCATTTCAGCGAAGAATAATGTTACGTGGGTAGACAAGCTTCCATATGTTTACGACGATAACATGAAGAAGCTGGCGGATACAATCAAACAATTGGAGAAGAAAATGATCGGAGACGTACATTTGTAGAGTAGAAGAAATTGCTGGATTCATGACTAAACACGCGGATATCCTGGTGTGTCGGTGGGATGAAGATTGAGGAAAGGTGGCCATCCGTCCAATTCCAAAGCCCGAACAAGGAGCCAAGGAGGAACCCGGGATCTGACCCACCGGTTGGAGCCTTGGAGGGACAGAAAGAAGGGATTGTTTGATTGAAAAATAGAAAGAAAAAGAGGGAAAGAGAGTGGGAGTTGGTCACCATTACCAGGCACCAGTTGGGTTGGGGGGTGTCCCCCCATATCACTTGGATTTCCTCATGTAATGATGTAAAGGTGTGTTTTTCCTCGTCGGTATAAGTTTCTTTTTTTTTAGAAAAATAATAATTATAAAATTGAATATCCTGTCATGCATGTATGAGTGAAATTGATGATTTATTTGTGGACAACTTAATTAACGGGCAAGAGAGAGAGAGGCCCACCGACCGCCGTGCATTTATGGTAGCATGTGATTAAGACGAGAGAGAGATGGAAAACTATAAGAAAAGAGATGAGATGTTCATATCTCTCTCTGAAATTTGAATGATTTGGTTTTGCTTGCGCGTCTGTGTGGCAGGCCCCTTTGATGTTTGGGTGCAATTACGGTTTCATGTCTTTTTTATCTGCTTCTTGGTTTTTCTAATAAATCAGTACTCAATACAATAATAAGAGCGCTCTCTCTCTCATGTGTCGGTAGCTTTGGTAGGGCTGTGTGGCGAATTGATGGTCAGCACTCAGGTAGTTCAGGGACGAGGTAATTTGGCTGGTCCGGTAAAGAAAAAGTCGACTGGCTGAGTCGAATGTTTCAGTTAGCTAAAGGGGACCATTAATAGGGTCTGGATCACCGGAGGGTTGAGCTTACATGTTTTTCCAACTTTCTTTCATTGTTTCTTTACTATTATTATTTACATGATGATCATGAATATTATAATATTATTATATAAAGTTGGCTACATGAATGGAGTGTTGCGGTCTCTCGGGTAGAATCTGAGATATGGTCAATGGTCATAAAAGAGTCAAATTCAATTCTATATATAACAGAATCTTTTCCCTTTTTTTTTTTCCTCTCTTTTTGTATACATATATATATCCTATTGTATCTTGTTTCTTTTATGAAAAGAATCCGATGGGAGCCCAACTTTCCTTACAAGGTGGAAAATAAGTTATGTATTACTTATTGGGCAGAAGAACTTACCTCTCTTTCAATATAGCTTCCTACCATATATTTGGTTTCATGGTGCTACTACTGTCACAGATCCAGGTTGCAGTTGCAAGCTGCAACTCCGCTTCGGTCCTCGCCTCCGGGGTAAAGAAAGCGCCACAAATTAAGCTGGTTTGCCAGTTGCGTTTCAATCGAAAGTGTTTACCCTGTAATTAATTACAGGGTGTCAATGGACCGGTTTTGGATTGGACCCCGTCCAGTTCAAAATCAATTTGGACGGATTGGATGGACCAATAAAAGACATATTTGGATTGGACTAATCTGGTTCATAATATTTACTAGATTGGATTGGATCTAGTCCGTCCGTAATAAATTTATATTGGATTGGGTTGGATTAACCCAATATCTAGTCCATTGATATAAGATAAGAATATAGGTGTCAATAGACCAGGTTTGGGTTGAAGCCAATCTAAATCAAAATGAATTTGAACAGATTGGATGGTCCAGACATTGAATTGGATTGGTCCAAAATGGTCTTAAGTATTCATTAGATTGGACTGGACCTGGTCCATTTATAATGGACTCACATTAGACTGGATCGGAGTGGACCAAATACAGTCCAATTGACACCCCTAAAGGTAACGCTAACACTCTCTTGCAGCATTCATCACTGTTGTATCACACTAGAGTTTAACTCAATTTATAATTTAAGTCTTTATTATGATTCTTTTATATGAACCAAAAAAATGAATTACAAAGATTAATATATTTTAAAGTGGATGCATTTTTAATAAGTAATCATAGGGAGTGCATATATTTTTCGTATTTCTATGAGTAGATTGTTTAAAGTTAGAATTTTTTTATGAATGGAGTTTTAATTTTTTTTTTTTAAGGCTATGTTTGGTTCCGTATGCATTTATTGAAAAAATGCCATCACATTAGTGTCACGTTGGCGTTGGTGTTTATTGCATATGAAACCATTGTTTGGTTTTACTATTTATCAAATAAACACTAAAAACTTGGAAATGCTTTAATTTATCTACATCGGGCATTTGGAGAAATGTCAAATTCTCATTTCCCCTAACGCCCAATGAAATGCTTATGTGGCATACTTTATGGGGTGTTAATCTAAGGTGGAAAGTAAAAAATGTTTAAATTAATGCCTAACCAAACAACAAAAGCAAGAAACGTTTAAAATAAAGCTGTACAAATAAACGTTTGAGTATGCGTTTGATTCCGTTTATGTTTATTGAATAAACGTTTATACTTTATTTAATAGTAAAACCGAGAAATACAATAATTACAACCGTTTATGACAAGTAGGTGCCACCAGGCTCCACATCAGCATAACAGTGAAAAACGCCTGACCATTTGGGGAAGCTTTAAAAAATAACTTCCACAAATGGCTGACATGCACATAAACCAAAGTTGATTTTTTTTTCATTTTCGATACATGCAGAAGAGCAAAAGAGAGAAATTGCTTAGATGACATCTATTTAACACCCTTAATAAACATTTACTGAATAAACGTAAACAGAACCAAACACCCTCTAAAGCAATAGATGGCCCATCTATAAACGCCCACCCGAACTAAGTGGGTAGATACATGTACAAGGAAGTTTATATTTAAAAGTGGGAATAATCATACCTAGACAGCAGCATCTTCAAATCAATGCCCTCGTAGGCCTACCTATGACCCAACAAATAGGGTGATTATTCTTGGCCCAGCCCAGTATATAAAGAGTAACTTAAAAAAGTAGTTTTACACTTACAAAATGCGTATAGGACAAATATTCACTTTGTTACCCGTGATAGCATATTGGCTGTCATAATATTTTAAAATCCCAAATTTGCCCTCTCTTTTTATTCACCATTGAGACCATCTTCTCTTCTTATTTGACTTATACTCTTTTTTTTAGTCTGGCTTTGATCAGTACGAGCCTGTGCTCACACTTCTTGCAACTTTGTACTGGGAATATCTTCCCATGAAATAAAGTATATAAGTTTGTTTCAATCTAAACTTGGTCTATTAACACATATATTCTTATCTTATATTAATGAATCAGATATTAGCTTAATCCAATATAAATTTGTTAGAGATGGAATAGGTCTAATCCAATCTAATAAATATTTTGGACCAGATGTTGGTCCGTCCAATCCGTTCAAATTGATTTTGAATAGGATGGGGTCCAATCCAAAATCAGTCCATTGACACCCTTTTAAGGTTATATTGCAAAGCATTTTTTGCCCTTGACTAATCTGAAAATTTTCAAAATGTGCCTCTCCCATTTCGTGTGTTCTCCAACAATGCATTGGCACTTGGCAGTCAACAGTAACACAAGGGCCTGTCTACATCTCGGGTGTTTCCGGTTCTTCTTCCACAATGGAAGGACGATGTGGCAGATCCCAGCCATCCATTCAATTGGTGACTTTATGGATACACCAAGTTCCAAGTTGTGTTGTCCTTTTATGCATCTAATATCAATCCTCAAAAGTTTCAACTTTCTAATTAAAAAACAGGTTCTCACACAAAAGGATTTATTTTACACTTGGCTAGGGGCCTAGGGCTGTGAAGTTGGACTGTTTCTCATGAATACAGTATACAGAGGTATTTTAGGTAAATTACAGATTACTACCATGTAGATGTAGGGTAGTGACAGTTGGCCCCCCAACAAAAACCCTTCTGATTGTCATGTACTTTGTTAAACTTTCTAAATAGCCGAGTTACCATTTCCTTAATTTGTAGACTATTTTTCCTTTCTTGTACATATTTGTTTAAGCCCTTATGGTGCTTTCTTCTTTCTCATCCAAGGTGGGAGAGAAAGAGAGAACGTTTCGTATTGCCCATTTTTGTCATTTCGGAATGCCATCCTGTTGTCCGCACAAATCTCAAAATGGAATTAGGGTAAATTAACTTCTTTTGTCAATCCAATTGCTGGGGAGGGCCCAAAGTGTTGGAATCTAAATATTCAAGGGGTCTTTATTGCAAATCAATGCTCTGCGTGCTAGGTGCTAACTATCACTACCCAAAATATAGGGTAAGTAATATGTAATGTACCCTTCTTTTTTCTTCTCTCTTTTTTTATAGATGAACTAGCGGGGACCTGTGCGATGTACGGGATTTATTAAGCAAAAACTAAATAATAAAAAGGGTCATTTACTAAAATACCTTTTATAGTTTTATGGATTTACTAAAATATACTATATACTTAAAATTTTACTAAAACACCACTTATAATTTGCAATGGATTTAATCAATCTTCCATTAGATGACAAGAGAAAATGATAGTGTTGACCCTAATGTTCAATTAAATAAATTTAATCAAAAGAAAATAAAAATAAAAATTCCATTTTTGCCCTTTATAAGACAGACAACCACTCTATTGGCTATATTTGGTTGATTTTGTTTTCTGTACAAAAAAAGTGTTAAGGGTATTTTTGGAATAAAAAATCATGGGCCTAATGGCAAAATAAACACTCCTTAATGAAAGGTTGATTAAGTAAATAAGTTGTAAAATATATGGAATATTTTAATAAAATGAAAATTATAAGGTAGGTTTAAGTAAATATGTAAAACTATAAGATGTGTTCTAATAAATGACCCAAATAGAATCACATAAGAGTATACAGTTGTTTTATATTTTCAATTTTTTAAATAATTAATAATTATTCATATTTTATATACTACTTTTAATAAATTTTTATAATACAAAAATAACAATAATTAATTTCAGTTAGGTTTATTCATCAAACTGAAGAAACCGACCAACCTTATCAACTCGACCTGAGATGGTCGATTTTCTAGTATTTTAGGACGGTTTTGGTTCAAAAATTTCCCGACCAAGTTGGATCAATTTCACTTTGGCCATTTGTAAACCAACAAAATCAAACGACCTAACTATGGATATATATTAATATTTTATATTTTAAATATAATTTTTAATATGAAAAAGTGGGAAATTTCMCATATTTCTTAGTCTAAAATGTTTTATATCATAAATCTAATTTTTAATTTTTTTTAATAATTACACTATAATTTTCTAAATTAAATTAAAATTTTAAGTTTAAATCTTTTGAACCAATTGACCAAATCAAAAAGTCGACCCAAACTGATACAACTTGAGTGGATCGGTTTCCACAAAAGGTCAGTCGGTTTCAGTTGATCAACTCCCCAACCTGACCAGGTCAATTTGGTTGGCCAAATAGCCTATGACCGAACCGAACCAACTCATGAACACTCATAATTTTAGCTAAATTAATAGTCTCATCTCTGATAAATAACAATAGTTTAGTCTCTAATAATTATTGAAAATTTATAGCAAAAATACACAATTATTGAAAATATATTGATAATGAAAAATACAATAATTACAAAAACACAATAAGTACTAAAAATATATTAGCT